AAAATGGTGCTCAATTTGAACACATCGCTTGAGCAAACACAAACACATAGCATGTACATACTGCATTCATCCCCGAATCGTGAGAGGCAAGGGGACCCACGTTAATCAAGCACCCCGAATCGTGAGAGGCAAGGGGACTCACGTTAATCAAGCCCCCCGAATTGTGACAGGCAAGGGGACACGTTAATCAAGCACCCCGAATCGTGAGAGGCAAAGAGACTCACATTAATCAAGCACCCCGAATCGTGAGAGGCAAAGGGACTCACGTTAATCAAGCACTCCCCATCGTGAGAGGCAAGGGGACTCACACAAATTAAGCAACCCCAATCGTGAGAAGCTAAACAAATAATGAACATGCAATAAGCAGTTACACAACAAGTGTTTCTTTAAGAAAATTATGTGTTTTCTTTACATTAATTGAGTCGTATTGTTCGCAAAAATAAAAAGTAAGGAATTTGAAAAATAAATACTTAACAAAATATTATGTCACAATACTGTAATCTTCATGCCTTATAACTCGAAAAGTACTTTATGAAAAAATACCTTATTATAGTGTTTTGGAAAGCTCTTGACATAAGCTATAAGAATGTGCAATAAAAAATAGGGGATCCTATTTAAGAAATTAAAGGTGTCCTTGACTTGACCTTAACGATGCCATCCAAGGTCAAACTAATGACACCATCTTATGTTCCCCTCAAAACCATACAATTTTTGTTGAAAGCATTTTTCTCTAAAATGCTTAGTTTTTGAAAGAAAAGGGGTGTACGGGTGGTCTAGGACACCCTGTATATAAATTAATTACGGGAAATAATTTTAATATAATAAACAAATAAAATTACTTAATAATAATTCACATTTGTATTAAAGAAACTAAATTTCTAATAAATTGATTATAAAATCCCCTCTAAATAATTATTAAACATAACTATTTTATATTTACTTTCATTTATTATAACATTCTTTTAAATTACAGAGAATTTGTGTAATTAAAAGTTAACACAAATTCTCTGTAATGTAAAAGAATGTTATAATAAATGAAAGTAAATGTAAAATAATTATGTTTAATAATTATGTTCGGGAGTCGACCTCGACGAGATCGCCCGAATCTTTCAGATACGCTCAAAGTTGAGCGAGAAGCAGTGTGTAACGCGAATCCGTAGATCCGCTGGAGGAATAGGAGTTGAGAGATTACTCACGTGTACGTAATTTTAAAAACGTTCATTAGCAAACACCGGGAGCGAGCCACGACACGTATTCCGCAACTCCGATCGGAAATCTTCACAATGTCCTTTGACAAACTGCCTTTCTCCGCGTTTCGGAAATCTGCACGGGTCCTGCATAATCTAGGCCGCAATGCAAAAAACATCGGACTGCCGCTGTCACGCGAGATTCGGAAAGATCTCCCATGAGTTATGTGGGAGTCGCGGCGCGTTCGCGAGTACACACAACACATTTGTGAATTACAGATTTGACGATATTACGAGCGCGAATTATCCAGAAATCGCGGCGCAGAACATTTAGCGTGAGTTGCGGTCCGGCATGTAACGCTCGTAAATGAGTTTGATTCACGATAAGTGTGACTAACGGGTGTGACGCAAGAAGGATCGGATGTCGAACGGACAATGGCAAAGGAGCTTTATTAAGCCGTCCCCCTACGCGCACAATTCAGTCCCGGTCAAGGAACGGTCGAAGAGAGAGAAGTGAGCTTCTCGACGAGAGGCTCTGATTTTTTGACAGCGCGTTTATTTCCGTCGGAAATAAGTCGGCTTGAATTTTCTTAATCCAGAAAGTTCTGGCATTGTTACAGTTGTATGCAGAAAGCGCAATATTTTGTGATGCCGGATAATGAGACGACAAAGGCGAAAACGATAATGAGCTTATGTCACGACAAGAGCGATTACGACGACTGTTAATTACGAATTTATTGATATACGCCGTGACGCGAATTAATTTTGGTCACGATGAATATTTAGAAGCGAGGTCCCACTTAAAGTGCGGTTGAGAGCATCGCAGGGAACTAACCTTTTCTTTGAGAGGCGCTTCCTTGGGAAGACGCTCATTGCTACATTGGCTACGTTGGCACATGCCGCCATTCGGCGTCTGAAGATGAGTCTGAATGTCATTAACGCGATTTGCGACAAAAGTCTTCCATCGCGAAGGAGGTTGACTTACCCACGCAAGCACGATCGTGGAATCTGTCCAGCAATGACACGGAATATCCTTGTAACCGTTCGATCCGCGAACGAACTCGACAAGTCGTGCGAGTAATAATGCTGCGGATAATTCGAGTCGTGGTATGCTTAGAGATTTTAATGGCACAACCTTCGATTTACCGACGAGTAAAGTTGTCGTGATTTGACCTGATGACGAAATGATTTTGATATAAACGCATGAGGCATACGCATGTGTAGATGCGTCCGCAAATCCGTGAATTTCGGCGTGACTTGTATCCGATCTGCGACCGAACCAGCGTATTATTTGCAAATTACTGAGATGTGAGAGCCGAGAATAGATTTCTCTCCACTTTGCGATATGTGGCTGGGAGATAGCGTCATCCCAATCGCCTTTAAGTCGTCAGAGTTGCTGCATAAATATTTTAGCGGTAATCGCGACCGGAGTGACCCCCCCAAGCGGATCGTAGAATTTTGCGATCGCGGACAAGATCGTACGCTTGGTTTCCGGGGCGTTATCAGACAGCGACACGCGAAACTCGAAAATATCGTTTTCCGGATTCCACCCGATTCCGAGGATTTTGATTTGTTCGTCTTCAGCCAGAGGTTTTTTCATGGCTAGACCGTGATCTGTGATTTCGATATCCTCGAGAAGAGAGAGAGAGTTGCTCGCCCGTTTCCGTAATACGAATCCGCCGCGCTTTAACATAGAGTTTAATTGATCGCGCGCTTGCCGAATTCGAATGGTATCGTCAGCTCCGAAAAGTAAGTCGTCGACATAAATATGTATTATCGCTCAGGATAGGAACTGCGAGCTGAAAGTGCTGACCTTCGTCGATGACGAGTTGTTTTAATACCCGAAGGGCTAGAAACGGAGCACATGACATTCCATACGTAACCGTTAGTAATTGATAATTGATGAGCAGCTTCGAGAGCGATGATAGTAGGGGGACGCGGCGAAACCGATGGGCGAGGGATCCGCGTAGAGGAGGGAAGGGGACCGCGTCCTAACCGGTAGGCGAGGGGTTCGCGGAGAGGGGGGAGGGGGCCGCGTCCTAACCGATGGGCGAGGGATCTGCGGAGAGGGGGGAGGGTGGAACCGCGGCGAAACTGATGGGCCAGGGATCCGCGTAGAGGAGGGAAGGGGGCCGCGTCCTAACCGGTAGGCGAGGGGTTCGCGGAGAGGGGGGAGGGGGCCGCGTCCTAACCGATTGGCGAGGGATCTGCGGAGAGAGGGGAGAGTGGAACCGCGGCGAAACTGATGGGCGAGGGATCCGCGGAGAGGAGGGAAGGGGACCGCGTCCTAACCGGTAGGCGAGGGGTTCGCGGATAGGGGGGAGGGGGCCGCGTCCTAACCGATGGGCGAGGGATCTGCGGAGAGGGGAAGGGGGAACCGCGTCCTAACCGGTTGGCGAGGGGTCCGTGGAGAGGGGGGACGGGGACCGCGTCCTAACCGATAAGCGAGGGATCCGCTAACCTAACCTAACCGGTAGGCGTGTGATCCGCGGAGAGGGGGGAGGGGGATCGCATGAAATCGGTTAGCGAGGGACCCGCGGGGAAGAGGGGACGCACGCGAGTAGGTGTGAGAGAGATAGCGCGAGGAGTCCGCAATGTGTTGGAGAGGGATAGCGCTAATGATATTCTATGGGCGTGGGAGAAGGATAGCGCGAGGCGTCCATATGAGCGTAAAACAAGGATAGCGTTTGCATGCACGTTAAAGAGAGATGGCGCGAGGCATGCACTTAGGAGAGAGAGATAGCGCGAAGCATGCACTTGGGAGAGAGATAGCGCGATGCATGCACGTGGATGATACGGCGTTTGCAAGGCGGTGTGAGAGAGATAGCGCGAGGCACGCACGCGTGTAGGAGAAGGATAACGCGAGCAAGGAAGGGAAGCAAAAGAAATACATAATCATTTTTTCATGATTAGGCGTTTGTACAAGCTGTTCAACGTCCGCTCGTTTCAGCATTAGCGATTCCCACGTGTCAATAGATAATATGATTTGATTGCCTCGGTTTGTCGCCGAGATGTAATTCCACGTAAGATGTTACTCCAACGCTGATACCAATATCCAAGTATTTATAAGCAGTGCGCGTCAAAGCAAATCTGCGTACCAAAATTCGTGGTATACAACGAGGTTTACCGCATCTGAAAAATACAATTAAATATGAAATAGCATGGAAAAAACATATATGAAAACATATATGTATATATATATGAAACATTTGTGATACTTACAAATCATGTGGTTTCTTGTACAGCTTAATTTCATCTCGTGGTTTCTTGCACGGCTTAATTTCATCTCGTGGAACGTAATAATTCATGCGTTTGCAACCGTTGCTGCTACTTCCTTCAGGAGAGTACATTTTGTCTCTCGGTTATGAGAAGTGGACCGTTGGTACTAGCAGTTGACGCGACACTGATCGTATAAAAATTAACCGAGTATACGTGACGCCTATTTTTCAAAAGTATAACGTCGTGGGAGATTAATACTCTGAAAATTTAGGAGAAGAGGAAACGGTCTGTATACCACTCTTGCCCCTTCATCTACTTTACGTACCCTCAGCCTTCTCGACGCGATATTTTTTCAATTTTTCCATTCAAGCGCCGATGAGTATCAATACGAGAAACTATGAACTCTTTCACACAACCGATTTACGCGAATGGTACAAGCGGCGCGTTGTTGAGCCCACCCTAGCTTCGCTCGAAGAATTTTAGGAACGTGATAGTGGGTGGGCATTATCGCGAATACTCGATTTAATCGTAAATATAAATAAATATAATCCTATGCGCGCGGGATGTCACATAAAATTACCGCGGGCGATAATAATGAAGGGAGCGGTGATCAACGTGCAATCTAATGACAATGCGTGTTTCGCGTGGTCTGTGGTCGCCGCTCTACATCCAGATGAAAGTTATGTTTATCGAGTATTTTCGTATTCTCATTATACAACGGTGCTGAATCTCCAGGACATTGAGTTTCCAGTGACTGTGAACCAAATTAAAAAATTTGAACTTGCCAGGATGTTTGCACTAATTTAGCTCGAACGACAAATTATAGTCTCATATGGTGGACTGTCGAGAGATGAACGAGTGCGCTATCCGAATACTGAGCGATAAGGACAAGTGGCTCACGTTCAACAATTATAATCGGGTGACTGCGTCGACAGGTTGCAAGATACGTGTTTACAACAGCGCAAATCATTTTACAGTTCTTTGACCAGTGACACAATATCCGAGAGCGATTACGCGCACGACGAGAACGTCTGGAAGCTGTTCTCCATTCGAACGCTGGGCGAATATAGCGATTTGTATCTCAAAATTGATGTTTTGTTATTAGCAGATATTTTTGAAAATTTCCGCGAGAGTTGTATTAAAAGTTATAGTCTTGACACCCCGTATTACTATACTCTTCCCGGATACACGTGGCACGCCATGTTGAAGCATACAAATATTACATTCAAATTGCTTACGGATATCGACATGGTTATGTTTATCGAACGCGGAATACGCGGTGGTTTGAGTCAATGTTCCAACAGATACGCACATGCTAATAACAAGTATATGGAATCGTACGATCCATCGAAACCTTCATCATATCTCACGTACTTTGATGTAAATAATTTGTACGGATGGGCAATGTGTCAACCTTTGCCCTATGCAGATTTTCGATGGGTCGACGACGTATCCGATTTTGATACATCATCGATCGCGCTCGATTCGCCTATAGGCTATATCCTTGAAGTCGATCTCGAGTATCCGCAACGTGTTCACGATGCGCACACTGACCTACCGTTTTGCCCGACACGCGACAAACCACCTAGTAAGCGGCAGGATAGCTGCTCGCAACCTTATATGATAAGAAGCGTTACGTGATACATTACCGCAACCTGCAGCAATGCACGCGACACGGACTTCGCGTTACAAAAATACATCGAATATTACAGTTTTCGCAATCTCCATGGCTTCGCAGTTATATCGAACTCAATACACAATTCCGAACACTCGCGAAAAATGATTTTGAAAAAAAATTGTATAAATTAATGAATAATACTGTATTTGGCAAAACGATGGAAAATGTGCGCAATCACGTTAATATTAAGCTCGTGACACATTGGGATGGAAGATATGGCGCAGAGGCGATGATCGCAAAACCAAATTTTCATAGTAGAAGCGTGTTTTCGGAGAATCTGATCGCCGTTAAATTGCGCAATTTCGAAGTTAAACCAATCTACGTGGGTATCTGTATACTCGACATATCCAAGACATGTTTGTACGAGTTTCACCACGATTATATGGTACCTATGTATCGAGAGAAATGTAAAGTCATGTACACCGACACCGACAGTCTCATATATCACATCGAGTGTGAAGATGTATATGAGAATATAAAGCGCAACGTCGATTCGATACCAGCAATTATGCGGTGGACAATCTGTACGGTATACCGCTTGCGAATAAAAAGATACCGGGTTTAATGAAGGACGAGAATAATGGCGCCATTATGACCGAATTCGTCGGGCTTAGGGCAAAAATGTACGCGTTGCGAGTAGATGGTAAGAAAGACTCGAAAAAAGTAAAAGGCGTCAAGAGTAACGTCGTCGCGAGAACGATAACATTCGACGATTACACGCGGTGTTTGAACGAAGAGATTGAAATGACGCGTCAGCAGTCTTGTATAAGATCTAAATTACACGAAGTATACACCATCTGCGAGACAAAAATTGCTGTAAGTCCGTACGATGACAAGCGGTATATCGTACCCGAAACCACCGACACGGTACCGTGGGGACATTATAAAATACCGTTGTAAATAAAAATCATGTATATTTATTGTAAATAAAAAATTACATATATTTATTGTAAATTAAAATTATATGTACAGGTCTACCGGAAAGTTCTGTCCGTTTTTGGAATAAAACAAAATACAAATTTTTATTACCGTCAATAAACTTTATTAAATAATGTAATTGCCATTATTCGGAGAAGTATTGTCAGCAACTGGATAATTTAAATACAGCAGTCCAAGAAAAGAGGCCGCCGATGTTCAATAGGAAGAACATCATACCGCATCATGATAATGCCAGGCCACATGCTGCTTTGGATACTCGTCAAAAAATTGCAGAACTAGGCTGGAAAATTCTGTCGCATCCACCATATTCCCCGGACTTAGCACCCTCCGACTATCACTTGTTTTTGTCCTTACAAAATTTTTTGAGGGGCAAAAAATTCAAAAATGAAGAAGATATCAAACAAGCACTGGTTCAATTTTTCGCATCAAAAGATAAAACATTTTTCGAAAAAGGGATATACAAATTGCCCTCACGCTGGCAAGAAATCATTAATAATAATGGCAATTACATTATTTAATAAAGTTTATTGACGGTAATAAAAATTTGTATTTTGTTTTATTCCAAAAACGGACAGAACTTTCCGGTAGACCTAATATAATATCGGTAAATATGATATATTGTTGGGAACAGAAAAGGTCGCGGGAAAATCAATACGAATTTTACCACATTGTCAATCGGTGTTCCCAACGATAATCCAAATTTATTAATCTACATTTCGATACAAACAATAATGATAGACTGTCTCGTTTCGCCGACGCATAGATTAATTTATAATAAGGCCAGCTTCGCAAAGTTCCTCGATAATTGATTGTTCAAGATTGAAACGTTTAATTTAATCAATAAATTTAAACTGTAAATTTAACCGACAAATCTGAACGGTAAGAGCCGCAATCAAAACACGAGCGAGAATAAACATCGTCGCGATCAGCCGATCGGCGCGTGATCATAACAAAGAAAAAGTGTGACAAACACCTATATTCTCGAACATTCGGCGCCGAAAATATCCTATTATGGAAATCGGTCGACTGCGACTCTTTTCCCTTGTTATTCAGTTTGCCGCTGACGACGATTCGAGATGATCGATGTCAATCGATCATAATTTCTCGTATCATAATTTCTCATATGATATTATCTCGTGTCGTATTCTCGCTCGTGTCGTGTCGCGCTACTTATAGACCATTCGCGCTACTGTTGTTTAATTCGCTCGTGTCGTATGCGCTTTCGTCATTCTCGTTGTAAATTCTCAACCGACATTCTAGTATACGATCGAGCATCGAACTCAGTGCGAAAGACGCCTCATTATCTGTATTACTACCTGCTCTATACTTATTGAGTTTGATTGTTAAGAGTGTGGAGTCCGAGAGTCGACGCGCGTTAACCGTTCCGCGAATGTCCTCTGCCTCGCGCCAAGCAACATTCGGCGTCCGCGTGCAAGATATCCGTTCTCGCGAGAGCCTCTAGCAAGAAGCTCTACAAGATTTCCGAAACGCGTCGAAGGCAATCATTAACAGGACATTTTGGAGATTTCCGTCGGAGTCGCGGAATACATGCCGTCGCTCGCTCCTATTATTCAAAATTCAACGAATATTGAAAACAATCTGCAATCGAGTATTTTCTGAACATCTCCTTATCGTCCAGCGGATCTACGGATTCGCGTTACACACCGCTTCTCGCTCATCTCTGAGCGTTTCTCAAGATTAGGGCGATTTCGTCGAGGTCGACTCCCGAACATTGATAATATTTCATTGTCGTGGCCATTGTTGCCGGCTTGACGCGAAGCTTCCAGCAATCGCAACCGATCTACCAACTCGTTGGGATCATTCCAATGCATGTAATCGATCTTATTATCGTTTAACGTCATAGCGCGCGGTATGTTTATACCTCTTCCAGCTTTTTTTTCCAGGCGCTATTATATTTTTATTTTGCCCTAGTGGACCCAGATGTGTGCGCAATGTATTTTGACCCTCGGACGTTTGTAATTGATGTTGAACCGACGTCACAAGCGTTTCAGGCGTTTCGAAAATTTCTTCCACATACGGAGACGATCTTTCGTACAATATTTGACTCAATTGTACATCTTTTATCGGAGTAGAAGTAACAACATTCGATAACACAGGTTTACAAGGTTTTTATCACAAAAGAAATAAGAGGTTTACCCGAAGGAATTCGGTGCGCTGAATTCAAATCTGGCCTCAGAATGGCGCCATCACGTCAGGATTTTGAGATATTCTAACCTAAAAGTGCAAGAATGGCTGTTTTAGGGCATTATTGGAATTCACTCCTGGTTGCAGAGAATTTTACCGACAAAAACTAAACAAAGTACCGTAAAGTACAAGTCTTGCCCTTTAATTTTCATTTTGAAACATCCAAATAGGATTTTTTTTTACCGAGATACAGCAGATTTAAGTTTTTACTGCATACAGAAAATCAAATAAAGCGATGATGTTGGTTCATTTGAAATACCTTAACCCTTTTGGTTTTGAGCAATTCTGGAAAAAAGAATGTAGTTCAAAGAGTCCCGAGGGTCGCTGCTCACGAATCTGGACTCAGATTTCCAAAATTCAAGATGGCGGATCCAATATGGCGGACGTAGATCCAGAAAATTTAAAATTAGAAAATTTAAAAAATATTGCCGCACTCTGCGTAAAATTTGAAATATAAAAGGTCTCTTGTGATTTTTCAGTTATTTGCGTTGTTTCCGAATAAAAAATTTCAGAATATTGCAATTTGTGTGCGCAATTATATTTTTGGATCGACGTCCGCCATATTTCTAATTTTGTTTTTTTATTTCCATTGTTTTATCTGCATCAGTACATAGTCGAGAAATTTCAGTTTCAATCTTTTGATTTATGAAACCTTTTTCTCTTTTGTTCCAGGCTTCTAGTGTCAGACTTTCTTTTATGGCTAACTCCCACTTCATCACGCTTAAGATTCGAGCAGTAATCGGCCAACATAGTGACATCCCACCGACCTTGGTACCTACGTTCCATCTCTTTTATATCCTGATGGAATCTTTCTCCTTGCTCTTCACTCATGTATCCAAGATTCTCAGGGAATGATTTTAAATGAGAATGAAGGAAGTGGACTTTCAAACTCATGTTACAACCTAGCTTTTCGAAACTTTCGAGCATTTTCTCGACAACTGCCTCGTAATTTTCGTCCTTCTTATTCCTTAAAAATTCTTTGACAACATTTTTAAAGTCCACCCATGCCGCTTTTTCATATTTTGTCATCGTATTTTCAAATTCCGTAGACTTCATAACTTTTCTTATATCCGGTCCATTGAAGATTCCTTTTATTTTTGCATCAGATAAGGATGGAAATATCTTAAGGAGAGATTGAAAACATTTTCCATTCTTGTCAAGTGCTTTAACAAATTGCTTCATGAGTCTTAATTTGATGTGTAAGGGAGGCAGAAGTATTTTTTTAGGATCAACCAGAGGTTTCTGAAGAATATTGAATGATCCTGGCTTGAGTGACTTACGCAGAGGCCAACTTTTTTTATTCCAATGTTCTTTCCTAGCCCTACTATCCCACAAACAAATGTAACACGGATTTTTTGTGTATCCTAACTGTTGCCCAAGAAGTATAGTTGTTATCTTCAAGTCACCGCATATGAACCATTTATGTTCAACATGTTCAATTGAACGGTGCGCAAATGAAATGTGTCCAAACGAATTGTGCGCAATTGAAATGTGTACAATCGAACGGTGCGCAACTTTATGTGTCTAATATCACAGTGTGCAATTGCAACGTATCCAATTGTACTGTGCTTCATCTCTTGTAACCTAGACCCTAGCAATTCTGATCGACTTTTAGACAGCATCAAATCTCTTACTAAATCGTTTAGCTGAGCTTGCGTGAACAATTGAGGAGCTTCTGCCTTATCAAAATCAATACTATCATCCGATTGAGTACCATCATTCCCTACGTTTTCGTCTTCCGATAGCTCCAGATTTTCCCGTGAGATCGGAACCCTATCAAATATAATAACTCACCAACTATCCTGAAAAGGACTGTTGGAAAGTGATCCCTTAGAGCTGCCAACCACGAATGAAATGACCCACCAACTATCCTGAGAAGGACTGTTGCAATGGTATCACTTAGAATGTCAACCGAATATGCAACGACCCACCAACTATCCTGAGAAGGACTGTTGAAAAGAAATTTCTTAGAATGTCAACCGAATATGCAATGACCCACCAACTATCCTGAGAAGTACTGCTGGAATGTGATCCATCCGGTCAATTGCGCACACAAATTGCAATCTTCTGAAATTTTTTACTCAGAAACAACGCATTCTAACGAAAAATCGCAAGAAACCTTTTAGATTTGAAAGTTAACGCAGAATACCAAAGTATTTTTTTTATTTTCCAATTTTAAATTTTTGGGATCTACGTCCGTCATATTGGATCCGCCATCTTGAATTTTGGAAATCTGAGTCCAAATTCGTAAGCAGCGACCCTCGGGACCCTATGAACTACAAACTCTTTTTTCCAGAATTGCTCAAAACCAAAAGGGTTAAGGTATTTCAAATGAACCAACATCATCGCTTTATTTGATTTTCTGTATGCAGTAAAAACTTAAATCTGCTGTATCTCGGTAAAAAAAAATCCTATTTGGATGTTTCAAAATGGAAATTAAAGGGCAAGACTTGTACTTTACGGTACTTTGTTTAGTTTTTGTCGGTAAAATTCTCTGCAACCAGGAGTGAATTCCAATAATGCCCTAAAACAGCCATTTTTGCACTTTTAGGTTAGAATATCTCAAAATCCTGACGTGATGGCGCCATTCTGAGGCCAGATTTGGATTCAGCGCACCAAATTCCTTCGGAAATCAATATAAAATTGCATGTGATATTAAATACCTTTAATTTGTAGACCTGTGTAATTGTTCCATTCGCTTACGTTTTGATTGATTTGGAGTAGAAGTTATTAGCGAATCGTTCAATGATATATTT